AATAAACAAACCCCCCCAAAGAAACATCAAAATACCACCCTAAACACCAAAAGACACCCTGGCATCATGGGAGAGATGTGGCAGTCTGCTCACATACAGGTATTGCTAGACATAAGAAGTGAGCATTGTTTCCATTTGTTGAAACATTTCACCTGGAATCTTTTTCAATTCCCAGAGGCTTTCTCTCCAATGCCTTCAGTGGAGCTTGGACTTCCTTTCATTCCATTCCTGATCATTTGCTACTTCCTGAAATGGATGAGCACAGCCCAATTCTTTTTGGTCCTGTGTGTATTCCTTCAATCCTCTTTGACCCTTCCTGAATCATTCACTATTTTGCTCACAAAATCCTTCACTGTGGCAACACAGGACTTAAACACGGACCATCATGAGAAACTATTAGAAATGCGCCTCAGACCACAACATCTTACTGAGACTCTATGGACACGTTAAGATGATTTCTGGGTAATTCTTACGCACATTAAAGCACTGCTCTACATGACTAAATGCAACAGATTTATTTCTTGCTCCCACTAAATTGAATACTCTATTGTGTGGCTTGTGTTCATCATGTTTCTGTATTTCAGCTCTTGATCTCTAGGCATCAAGGCAAGGTAAGAGAGAAAGAACAGAGGGAGAGAGCACAGAATATGTGACAGGCCCAAAAATAACTTTAAACCTGTCAGGCAGTAGCCAAATCTCCATCAAAGGGCACATGCCAATTGCAAAAAGATTAGGAAATGTATTTGACTTCTGTATCCAGTATGAGACAATCAAGTTCAAGAACTAAGAGACCCACTTTTTCTTTTCATACAACCCTAATCCACCAACAGGTCCAATGGAGAAAAATGGGCAATCTCCTCTTGAGCGACTACAGCCTTGGAAAGCCAAGGGTGAGTTTGCTATGACATGGATCTGATTCCACAGTATTGGGTTTGAAGAGTTTTGGTTTGTTTCAATAAATAGGTAAGGATTAAATAGTGTTGCTGCTATTCAAAAGGACAGATTTCTCTGGCCGTTAACAGCCACTCTGTGAGAGAAAGAAGGGCAAGTTCCTTCCTGCAATTTATATGCTTGGAAAACACCTGGAGGGTCAGTATCGTTGTCAGGTGGCTCTGATAACATGACACAATGAGTTGGAGCTTTTCCTTTGATTCAATAACTTTTCTCTAACCACTAGTAAGAACCTATAGTTGGAAGATTTTTGTTATGTTATGTACCATCGAGTCTTCACCGACCCGTATCTACTCCACAAAGGACAAGAACCTTGTCCACCAATCCTGCACCACCCTTACAATCTCGTCATGTCCAAGCCCATGGTAAAGCTTGCTGTGTCAATCCTTCTCTTTGAGGGTCTTCCTTTCTTCCTCTGACACCTTTCCCACTATGACTGGGAAATCATAGTCTTTTATCAAGGATGACTCCTCCGAACAACATGCCAAACGTATGTGAGCTGAAGTTTCACCATCCTTGTCTCGAAGGAAAACAGTGCCCTCCAAGACAGACCCTCTTTCCCTTTTGGCAGTCCAGGGGATAGTCAGGACTTTTCTCCATCAATTCAAAGGCATCAATTCTTCTCTGAGTATCCTTCTTCACTGCCGAATTTTCAGATGAACAGAAAGCAAGAGAACCCCATGGCTTTGAGCAGGCATCTTTAAATTATCAGCCTTGCTCCTTGGTTCTTTTGAGAGGTCCTTAAAAAATCTTGATTTTTCCCCTTGCAACTTATCTTTTGACTTCCTATTATTACAGTAGGTGTAGACTGTGGATCCAACTAAAATGAAAGTGCTGACATCAATCTTTTCTCCATCAATCTTGGTGTTGCTTATTGTTTTAGTGGTGAGGAGAAACGTTTTCTTGATGTTAAGATGTAATGAATATTGAATATGGTAGTCTCTAATCATCTTCAGTAATTGCTTCAAGGCTTATTTTCTCCAAACAAAGCTGTATCATCTGCATAACACAGTTTGTTAATGTTACCTTGTTGTTATATGTCATTGAGATGCCTGCAACTCATAGCAACCCTAAGTACAATAGCTCTGAAGCCTGCTCTATCCTGAGCCAATCTCACTGACTCCAACACACCTACCCCCATTGCCCTAGCTACTTTATCAATCCATTTCATCCAGGGTTTTCTTCTCCTGCACTGTCCCTCCACCCTCTTAGCATGATATCCTTCTCTAAGACCTGATCCTTCCTGGAGCGTCAAAATCTTTGCCTCCAAGGAGAAACCTGGTTTCATCCTCTCCAAGACAGACCTATTTGTTCTCTTGGCAGTTCAATACTCTCCTCCAGCACAACTGAAAGGCATCAATTCTTCTTCTGTAATTCTCGGTCACTGTCCAGCTCTCTTAACAAGTAACTGAAGATCATAGCATGGATCAGGTGCACCTTGGACTCCAGACTGACATCACTGCTCCTCAGAACTCTGGAGAGGTCCCTGACAGTAGATTTTCCCCGAGTACTAAAGGAATGTCTATGTTTCATTGACTGTGTGGATCACAACAAATTATGGCTAACTTTGAGAATGGGAATCCCCAAGTCCTTCATTGTACTCATGCAAAACTTAGACCAGGAAGCAGTCCTCAGAGCAGAGAAAGGAAGCACTGCATAGTTCAAAATCAAGAAAGAAGTGTGTCAGGGATACATCCTGTCTCCATACCTTTTCAATGGTCTTTATGAAGTTGTTAACGAGTCTTCCTCTAATGCTGATGCCACATTCTTCCTCACAGAGTCCAGCTTCTGAAATTATTTGCTCAGTATACAGAATGAAGAGATATGAAGGATACAACACTGATATGCACCTAACCTAATTTAGAACCAGGCAGTGTTCTCCCATCCAGCACAATTGCTTCTTGACCTAGGGGATCACACCAGCACAATTAAGTGTGTGGGATTCTGATTCAAGAGATGTGTAACTAACTTTTATCCAGTAAGGACACCTATCTGATTAAGAACAGCCTCTGCTGTGGCATTTACATGGACTAAATCTTTTCTGACACAGGACTGTCATACAGCCTTCTCCTAGTCTTCCTTGCAGATAAAAGGCCATTGCCATCAAGTTAATTCTGAATCACAGCATCCCCCACCAGATATCTGAGGTCATAAATCACCAGGAGGAGACTGCTCATTTTCCTCTTCAGAGATTCCAACCAATGACCTTTTGGTGAACATATAGTTACACGCTATGCTACCAGGGCTCCTTAAGATAATGTATTTGAATGGTGGGAATGGAGGTGCAATAATGTGGTGTGGGCTGTAAGCTACCGTACTGGGTTATGATGGCGCACATGGCCGTTTAATGGATGTGTAGGCAAACCCAACTCGTAATTTATCTAATTAGATGCTAGGCTTCATGAGCAAGTGCTTTGTACACATTCAAACACTGTGTCAGTGTAAAGCGCTTTACAAAAGAAATTTATGTGAATGTGACACTTGGTCTTCAATCAAAAGATTACAAAATATGTGCAAATTATTTGCGTGGTCCCACCCAAAAGGTCTGCCATATACCTTATTTATATTATTAGCTGGCTATCTAATCCCAACCAACCAGGACTATTGCTGATTGGCATCATCGAGTTGTCTCTGCCCAGACAACTCTGCCCAGTCCTATGACTTCCTCATCACCACTGTTATGTCCGATTCCACCTGCTGCGGCCACTGTGCCAGGCCAGCCCTGTGAGTCATAGTCTTCACTGGTCCTCTTATTTCACCAAGCACGAGATCCTTTTCCAGGGGCCAGTCCTTCCTAATAACAGGTTTCAAGGTGGATTACACGAAGTCTTGCTAGCTTTACTTCAAAGGAACATTCTGGTTGCTCTTCCTTGAAGTTCATTTTTCTGGAAGACCATGGCATATTTGATATTCTTCATCAGCATCAATTCCTCTTCATTCTTCCTGATTGTTCACTGCCGAGTTTTCATATCCATGTGAAGAAACTGAAAAAATATCAAGGCTTAGGTCAGGTATGCCCCGTCTGATACTTTTGTTCTTTAACAAGTTAAAGAAGTCTTTTGCTCCTTAGCACTTTATAGAGGTCACTGGCAGCAGATCTATCCAACGCAATGTCATTTGATTTCTTGATCACTGATTCCAGGGCATTGATTGCAAATCCAAATAAAATTAGATACTTGACAATATGTACATTTTCTTGGTTTATAATGACACTGCTTATTGGTCCACTTGTATTTCTGTTCTGCTTAAGGACCACGGGTAACCAAACAAAAATCCCATTACCATCAAGTCCATAGAGACCCTGTAGGAAAGAGCAGAACTGTCCCACAGGGTTTCCAAGACTGTGAAATCTATTGGAGCAGACGTCCTCGTCTTCCTGCTACAGACTGGTCAGGAGATAGATTCGACCTGTGCCAAACTCGTTATCTGCCTGGTTCTTAGCCAGGGCTCCTAGAACCACGCAGACTATGCTGGTGTCCAGTTGAATTGGAACCCAACCAAAGCTGGAAATCGCAGGGAAGAAGAATGCCCATCTTTCTCGCAGAGCAGCTGGTGGATTCTAACTGCGTTCTGGTTGTCACCGCAGCTCCTTTACCACTAGACCACCAGAGCTCCTGAACCACAGACGTGTCCCTTACACACCATGACCCTGCAGCTGCCTCCCAGCACTACCCGTGGCCGTAGAGCCTCAGCTGCGGGCTTGATGGTCATTTATTTGTATATATCCTCCTGCTCCGGCCACCCCAACCTTGCACCTGTGATTGCCCCTGCTGCACGAGCGAGGCTTTCTGCACAACACAGTAACTTCTGGTTCTTCCCTCAAACTGCTCGCCGCCCAGCACCCTCTGCCGGTCCTACGGGGTCACTAATCCCCTACCCACAGTCCAGAAGCAGTGAGGGCGCGCACCATTTAGGAGACATAGGGTGGGGACCCTCTGGGGACCTGCGCTGTGGCAGGAGCTGCACCCCGACCACAGCCCCACGGCGGCCGGGGCAGACACCAGGTGGTGGGTCCCAGGACTTGGAGAACCAACGCGCCCCGTACGTACCCGAGCAGGCAGCATTCACAGACAACGCCCCGGCGTCCCTTCGACACTGTGTAGGCCAGAGGTTCCGAGCGGTAGAGCAGCTCTCCAGCTCTCAATGTGGCCGAGGCGCGCAGCCCGTTTCCCCGGTCGGCAAAAGCGAACTTTTCCATCTTGCCCGCCTCCATGCTACCATATAGCTGGCCACTCGCACAAGACCTGCGCGTCCCGCCTCCGGGAGCCGCCGGGACCGCGCACCTGCGCACTGCGCACACGGCGGCGCTACCGGCCACTGCGCACGCGCGGGCCCTGGGGAACTCCAGCTAGGGCATAAAGGCACCTCTGCGCATGAGCGGGGGTGATCTAGAGCGGGTCACGGTTGTCTCGACCTAGCAGCCTCAACTGCCTCAGGGCTGTTTCTCAAAGAGATTTTCCTGAGGGAGGGTTTCTGTCCTACAGATTTACTTTAATGTTTATGTACGCCCACAAAGATCCAACACTTCATAGCATTTTGCCATTTCTACTCCCTATTTTTCCTTTTCTGCCAATGTGTATATAGAGGTGTAACTTTGTGTATAGAGAACCCTAATGGCCTAGTGTGCTGCAATCCCAATGTCACATGGTTCGAATCCACCAGCTGCTCGGAGGGAGAATGATAAGCTGTCTCTTCTCTTGCTGGAGGGTCAGCTGTGGGTCGGTTCTGACTCCACAACACACAGGAACAACCTGCGTATATAGAGAGACAAAGGTTTTTCAGTTAAGTCACTCCCAGTAAGAGCAAACAGATGAAGCTAAAAATATGAAAGTCAGCCACTTGGCCAACAAACTAAAAGAGATGCATGTTTGTTCCCATCTCCAAAAAAAATGATGCAACAGAATTTCAAAAGTATCAAACACTTGGGCACGAGGCCAGAAGAGACTGGTCCTTGGAGAAGAACATCATGCTCAGAAGGGAGGAGGGATGGCGCAGGAGAGAAAGACCCTAGTGAGATGGATTGATACAGTACTTGGGGCAATGGAGGTTGGTGTGTTGGAATTGGTGAGACTGGCTCAGGACAGGGCAGAGTTCAGAGATGCTGTACATCGCAATTCAACAGCACATAACCGCAATAATCGTTAATATCACAAACAAAATCTTGCCTAAGATTATTAAAAAATTGACTGGAATAAAGAACTGCCGGAAATTCAAGGTGAATTCAGAAGAGACTGCCACATCAGATTTTTGTCAGTTTGCAGAAATCAGAGAACACCAGAAGGATGTCTGTTTGCATTTTATAGACTATGCAAAGGCATTTGGCGGTGGATCATCACAAATTATGTACTATTGTGAAGAATGAGAATCCCACACTTAATGGTGCTTGTGCAAAGCCTATACCTAGACCAAGAGTCTTGTGCAAAGCGAGCAAGAGAACATTGCATGGTTCAAAATCAGGAAAGGTGTCCATCAATACCTATTCCGTCTGTACACTGAGAAAATTATTCAAGAAGCTGGACTCTATGAAGAAGACTGTGGAATCAGGATTGGAGGTATGAACGTATCAACTATCTGTAGGATGCAGATCAGACATACAACCTTGATGCTGAAAATTAAGAGGACTTGAAGATCTTGCTGCAGAAGATCAAAGACTTTAATATGGATTACATCTCAACATCAAGAAAACAAAAGTCCTCACCACTAGGCCAACAGGTAACATCATAACAGATGGAGAAAAGGTTGAAGTACCAGTAAATTTTTTTCCTTTTTGGATCCACTATGCACACTCTTGGTACTGTTCTTGTTGTTGTTGTTGTAGCTTGCAACTCATAGAGACCCTATCTACAAGAGCCCTAAACTCTGCTCCTCTGCTCTATCCTGTGCCAACCTCATCGTCTCTGACACACTTACTCCTATTATTCCATTCACTGGATCGATCCACCTCCTTGAGAGTCTCCTCTCCTGCACTGTCCCTCCACTCTCCCAAAAATGATGTCCTTCTCCAAGGACTGGTCCCTCCTTGCAACATGCCCAAAGTATGTCAGACGAAGCTTCAGAATCCTTGCCTCCAAGGAGAAGACTTGTTACGCTGGAAAAAATCTGTTGTCCAGGACCTCTACAAAGTACAAGAGCAATTTAAATCCTAAAGTGTGCCTGATGCAGGCCATGGTCTTTTCAATTACTTGCTATGCATCTGAAAGCTGAACAATGATGAATAAGGATGACAGAAGAAGAATCTCTGCATTGGAGTTGTGGGGTTGGAAAAGAGTACTGAATATCCCATGGTCTGCCAAAAGAACAAAGAAATCTGTTATGGAGACAGTGAAACCAGAGTACTCTTTAGTAGGGATGGCAAAACTTTGTCTCACATACTTTAATTATGTTATTAGGAGAGGCCAGTCCTTGCAGAAAGACATCATGCTTGGAAAGGTGAAGGTCTGAAGAAGAAAGACCTTTAATGAGATGAATTGACACAGTGACTGTATCAACGGTCTCAAGTGTGTCAGAGACAGTAAAAACTGGCTCAGGATAGGGTTAAGTTCAGATCTTTGTTCATAGGGTTGCTATAAGTCATGGTCGATTTGATGGCACCTAACAACAAAATTTTTGAAAGTAAATTGCAAATAGAGTGACATTTCATAATTAAATAATTTAACATACAGCCTCTAAGAACAATATTCATGACAAAGTAAAATATTACAATGAAATGTGCAAGGAGTTGGAGTCAGAAAATGAAAAGGGCCGAACTTCGGTGATAAAGGAAGAAGTTCAGGCTGCTTTGAAAGAAATGGCAAAAAATAAGGTCCCAGGAATAGATGGTATACCAATAGATGTATTTCAGCTAACAGATGCTGCCCTGGACGTGCTCACCAAGTTGGGCCAAGAAATCTGGAGAAAAACCACTCGGCCAACTGACTGGAAGAGATCTATATTTGTTCCCATTCCAAAGAAAGGTGACCCAACAGAGTGTGGAAACCATAGAACAGTATCATTGATTTCACATACAAGGAAGATTTTACTGAAGATTATCCAAAAACAACTGGAACAGCCCATCAGCAGAGAATTAATGCCTTTCCGCTGTGGTGCTGGAGTAGAATATTGAAGATACCATGGGCTGCTAGGAAAACAAACATATTTATTCTGGAAAGGGTTAAACTGGGAGACTCCTTAGAGGCAAGGATTCTGAGGCTCCGTCTAACATACTTTGGACAAGTTGTAAGGAGGGACTGGTCCTTGGAGAGGGACATCAGGCTTGGGAGGGTGGAGGGACAGTGCAGGAGGGGAAGACCCTCTATGAGGTAATCAGGATGGGCGTGTCAGAGGCAGTGTGATTGGCACAGGTCAAGGCAGAGTTTAGGGCTGTTGTACATAGGGTCACTAGGGGTCGCAAGCGACTCGACGGCACATAACAACAACAACATATCATCACTATAACTTTTTAATATTGCACAAAATCCATATTAACCTTAAGAATGCCTGTCTTACCATTATTGTAAAAACAGAAGGATACAAAGTAAAATATATATGGGGATCCAAGAGGGAAAAAGGGGTGAGAGTGGAGGGGTGAAACCATAGGGTTGCACAGTTTGGTGGATGGAGGGAGAGGTTAAAGGAAATGGGAAAGATCCAGGTGAAAAGACAGGATAGTGATGGGAAAGCTCCAATGGGGATTGATTTTATAAAACAATGCATGAGAATGATTGTGTGAAACACAATGTGAATGAATCATGTAAAATACAATGTATACCAACTTTGTAAGCAAACCAATAGATAATTAATATTTTAAAAAGAATGCCTGTCTTGATTTTTAAAATGCAGAATCAACTAAAAGTCCATATATTTGCTTTATGATAACTTTGAATCTCTTAAGAGTATATGTGAGGGGGGTGTGTGTGTGGTATGTCCCACAGTTGCCCATAGCTGACCTATGAAGAATAGGAGACAACCTCGTCCTATACTACACCAGTTTCAAAATCTCCACTTTCCTCAAGTCCATTGTGGCAGTTACTGTGGCAGTCCCAATCTTTTGAGTCACTTGGCCAACTGACTGGAAGAGATCTATATTTGTTCCCATTCCAAAGAAGGGTGACCCAACAGAGTGGGAAACTACAGAACAATATCATTGATTTCACATGCAAGCAAGATTCTACTGAAGATTATCCAAGAACGACTGGAACAGCACATCAGCAGAGAACTGCCAGAAGACCAGGCTGGATTTAGAAGGGGTCGTGGTATAAGGGATATTGTAGCTGATATTAGATGGATCTTAGCTGAAATCAGGGAATACCAGAAGAATGTCTATCTGTGTTTCATTGATTATGCAAAGCAGTTTGACTGTGTGGATCATAACAAACTGTGGCTGACTCTGAGAAGAATGGGAATCCCAGAACACTTGATTGTGCTAATGCCAAACCTATACTTGGACCAAGAGGCAGTCATCAGAACAGAGCAGGGTAACACTGCATGGTTCAAAATTGGGAAGGGATGTGTCCTATCTCCATACCTTTTCAACCTGTATGCAGAGCAGATTATCCGAGAGACTGGGCTCTATGAGGAGAAATGTGACGTCAGGATTGGTAGAATGATCTACTAACAATCTGCATTATGCAGATGACACAACCCTGCTTGCTGAAACTGAGGAGGACCTCATGCACTTGCTGCAGAGGGTCAAGGACTGCAGCCTTCAGTATGGACTGAGGCAAAATGTCAAGAAGACACAGATTCTCACCACTGGGCCAACTGGCAGCATCAAGATGGATGGCGAAGAGATTGAGATTGTTCACAGCTTCAGTTTGCTTGGCTCCACAGTCAACACTCTTGGCACCAGCAGCCAGGAAATCAAAAAACATTGCGATGGGAAAGTCTGCTGTTAGGTACCTCTCTACTCAAGAGCAACGTTGTGTCTCTGAAGACTAAGGTGTATCTGATACAGGCCATGGTCTTTGCAATCACTTGTTATGCATCAGAGAGTTGGACAATGACTAGGGAGGATAGAAAGAGAATTGATGCCTTTGAGCTGTGGTGCTGGAGAAGAGTATTGAATGTTCCATGGACTGCCAATGAAACAAACAGATTCATCCTGGAGAGGGTTAAACCAGGCTACTCCTTGGAGGCAAGGATTCTTGGGCTTCGTCTGACATACTTTGGACATGTTGTAAGGAGGGACTGGTCCTTGGAGAGGGACATCATGCTTGGAAGGGTGGAGGGACAGTG